TAAAGACATCTGGATCCTTTACTACCCCATCTCTGTTGCTACCTGCCTCTTTTTATTGATCTTTTGTCATGACTGTGCAAAAAAAAAGCAATAAACTGCAGGTGCAGATGTGTTCATCGCTTGTCCTCATCAGGAGAACCAATAAACAAGCAATATTTTGCAGATAAAACAACCCAGTGGAAGGTGATTACATCGAGACGGACTCGAGGGCAAAACACAGAGCATGACCTCCGCCAAAAAAATGTAGTCTTTGTTTATTTTATCTATGAAATGGCATTTTCTGTGAACATGCAGTTTGCATGCTAATTGCTGCCTTTGGGAAAAAGATATGCTGAAAAAGGTGGAAGTGAGTTGTTAGCTGTGGCAGCTAATTTATTTATTGCTGCTGCACTGTGTGGCTGTATCATATATGTCACCATCATAGTTCAATCTCAATGTTACTTGCTACCTATGCAATAACTTGTCACACAACCTGTGTAGTATACGTTAGTTATGTGCAATACAGTATACAGTATGTCGTGTGCATTTTAGCTTATATTACTACCTTGAAATACTTATTCATACAAATTCATTCAACTTGCACCGTTATAGTCCACCATGTTGTTGTTTACTATTTTTCTTTAGGACCTTGTAAATATAGTAATTTTTCACTTTTTGGTACTTTATCTTGTACTCTTATTGCATGCTTTAGTATTTCTTATTTGTTTGTTCTTTGTTTTAGCGAGTGAAATCGGTTCTTCTCATCCTGAACATTTCATTGTACTGTTAACCTTGTGTTAGCTTGCATTTGACAAATAAACACAACTTGAACTTTAACTTGAACTTAGAAATGAAAAAGTGGAGCGCTTGCTAAAAGTAAAAAAAAAAAGTGTGTGTGTGTGCGTGGGGGGGGGGGGTATGTGTGTATGTGTGTATGTGCACACTCTTAACAGACCAGTTCATGTCCAACCTGTGAGGTTTAGGAAAATCCAATAGAAATTATTTACAAGTCATGCTGTATCACCAGCTATAGATTATTTAAATCCATCCATCCATCCATCCATCCATCCATCCATCCATCCATCCATCCATCCATCCATCCATCCATCCTCTTTACTCGTTTTTTCCTTTTTGGTTTGTAGGAGATTTTGCCCATCAGTCCATGATTATAAAATCATTATAGATACTGAAACATTTGAACATACTTTCCACTGTCATAAGATGAAGATATAGAAAATACTATTTCATTGAAGCCAACAAAGTTAAGTCAGGTCCTCTGGACGGTTTCATTTTTTTGTTGTAACGTTTCATCTTTCATCTGAAACACTTCATCAGTCCGAGGAGCCAAATCAAACTCAGTCCCATAAGTAGCACACTCACATAGTGGGCCAACCAGTTTGATGGTGATAAGATGATTTCTGGAGTCTGCCCTCTCCCCTGAGGCAGCCGTGGCTAAAGTGGTTCAAAACATCAAAGTTCATCCTCAATAATCCAGGTAAAAAAAAAATAATAATACAACAAAGTTATGTTAAAGTCTGACTTTTTCAACAAAAAAATAAGAAACCGTCCAGAGAATCTGACTTAACTTTGTTGGATTTTTTTACCTGGATTATTGAGAATGAACTTTGATATTACATTGATGTGATAAGGACAAACATAATTGCATAATTCTTTAGAGGCCAAATTCCACATTTGAAGCCCACTGGAATGTGAAGGTCAAACGTCATGGCAGCAGAATGAAGCTTTTAATGACACCAGTGCATGTTATTTGATATGTTTATTTATTTATTTTGTTCTGCCTTCATTACAGAGAGTTTCTGGAAGACAACACAACCATGGTTTTCGTGAGTGATGCAGAGATTAAAAAAAGTAAACTTCCAAACCAAACTCAGCTGTTTCATTGTAAGAATCTGAAATTACTTCCTCAGCTGGACTTTTATAAACATATTTTAGATTTTTGTTCTCTAAAGGATTTGGACATGATATTAAGCTTTTTACTGCCAAGAAAAGCATTGTAATATATATTTTTAACTTTAGACCCAAGAAAAACAGAAAGAATTGAAGGCCTATCATTCCTTGAGAAAGTGCATATCAACCACTGCCTTTCATGTCAGAGTTTCAGATTAAGATAATCTATCTATTACTATAGCCAATTTGGTCAAACCTTTTAAATAAAATTAGGCAAGATCTTACAAGAAACCTCAAATGATCTTGCTAGAGTTTGTGTTAAGCATAATTCTCAGCTACGACCACATCAAATGAAGCTCATTATTTATAAAACTGACTGAGATATAGCCATGTTTGTGTTTGTGAAGGTCGATTAGCTGTGACGACCATCTTGAATTAGGTTGATTCCAATCTTTAATCAGTTGTTGATGTACATCTAATGCTAAATTTCTAAGAATTTCACTAAAGTCTGCCCATTGATTCGTGGGATATTTTGCTAACAGACATACAGTGTTAACTGAACTGTTAATGCATTAGGCTAAAGATAATGTGCCGTGGGTAAAGCTCAGAGTATAAATGAGTGAAAAACCACGTCAAATTTTAGCTCAGTATATTGAAAATTGACGTCATTTTGGTGTTGGCTATTGTTGATTAGCTGTGGTGGCCATCTTTAATTTTTGTAGAGATACATGCAGTGATGACTTTCTGAGAGTTTCATTAAAATCTGCTCTCTTGTTCATGACATGTTTTTAAGAACACTACAGAGAAACAAACACACACATGCAAAGACAAAAACCCTTTTGGTCTTTGGCGGTGGGCGGTAACAAACGATGGATGCAGAAGAAACATGACTTGAACATTTTGCTGTTTGGTCTGTTTATTAGAGGTATATTGGCAAACATTTTACAAGCTGCTGCTTAAATATTTCACTGAAAAACATTCACTAAGCTCAGCAGAAAACACTTTTAAAGCCCCAGATTGAAAGGCACTAAAGTCTGAGTTTTACTATCCATCTCCACACTCCCCCTCCCTTTTTTCAATCTTGACACATGCACACACACAAATACAGCAAAGATACTGTTGTTACACACTTCAGCAGCTACGATACACAGCTTTCCATTCATGTGTTAGTTGGGTTTTCTAGAGGTAACACCACTTATGTCTGCGATCAGGTGCACTACACAATGCACGTGAAGCAACAGTTAATTTAATACACTTAACATCTGTAGAGAAATAAAGCCAACATAAATTACTTTGTGTACATGGCAGAGTTTCAGTTTCCTGCAGATGAGTGAATGCGTCTTAAATATTCTCAAGATTAAATACACCATATTGCTGTTTTTATTTTTAAATACATAACTTTTAACTTAGAGTTCAGCTAAATTATGTATAAATCACAAGACAACATTACATGAATTTTCTTCTTGTCTGCAAAATAAATTTACAAAATGCTTCTTTTTTAAATAATGTTGATAGTACATTCAAATAATAGCATAATAGTTCCTCAGCATAATTTCTGTGGTTTTAAATAGCTTGGGGTTTAGTGGTTGCTTGCAAGTTACAGTCTATTGTGTTAGCTTTCAAAGAAAACGATGAACCCTTTTTAGTTTAAAATACAGAAGAATAAAACAAAACGTTTTAATGCCAGGCTAGTGCCATTGTCGTATTTCTGATGCCGTCTGTCCACCAGAAAGAAAAAAATATGTAGTCTTAGAGCTGCACCAGAGCTTAGCATGTGTTGTTACGAAGACCCTTTTGATTGTTTGCTACTTGGTTTTCCACGAAAGCAAAGCAGATACGGAAATGCACTTTTGGACAACTTCACCACAGCCCAGTGAGTCGCAAATATAAATAATGAGACTTCTGTCGTTGAATCATTTAGTTTTAAAGCAATAGCTCAAATTTTCTGAAATGAAGTTTTGTGGAAAAGGTATGAACAGTCTATATATCGCCGGTTGTAGATAATTTTTGAATGAACAGCTTCACTTTTAAGAACATAATTAATAATGGTTCATACATATATTATTTTTTATTTTATTTTATCGCTGTCAGTTTAGTGTTATGTGCTTATTCCAACAGAAATGTTCTGAAATTACAACAGGAAGTGCTACAGCCAACTGCTGCTGCTACTGCTGTTTGCTATGCATACAGCCACAGAATAAATAACAGTGTTTAATAGTAGACAGAAATTAGGACTTGGCCAGTTCTCTCCTTTCAGCATATGTTTAAAGCTGTTCTTTTTAATAACAAAGCAACGTCACTTGTCTGCAATTCCTTTAATGTTTGTTCTGAATTTGGCACGGTTGACTTGTCAACAAGGGGCTGCTAAAATGATAAAGGCGGCTGCATTTTAATTTGCTCTTTCTTTGTGCCAGTTGCATTAACATTCAGGGGATGCCATTATATAACTACTAACTAGATGGTAAATGGACTGTACTTGTATAGAAACTTTCTATACAGCTAGTATACTCAAAGTGCTTTACAAAACTTCTGTGTCCTCATTGACCCATCAACACACATTCATACAGCACTCAACTACACCTCTGCAAAGCAGATCTGAGTAAATCATTCTATAGAGACTAATCATGACATTAAAGCACATCCATACACAGATAGGACATGGTAGTTGTGTCTTGGGACACTTTGACACGTGACTTCATATTGGTGGAATCAAACCCCCAACTCTCTCATCGAAAAACAACGGTTTTAAGCACTCAGCCACAGCTGCTTCAGTACGATGTGAGCTGTAAGCTTGTCATTTAGGTCAGAATTAAACTTGGATTCTTCAAACTGAGGTTGCTTCAAATGTTATCTACAACAGGTAGACAACATATTGATTGTTCACTTTTCCACAAAACCTTATTCATCAGATCTAAGCTACCTCTTTAAAGTATCGGTTTTTAATGTGAAAGCTAACAGGCTGTCAGTCAGTTATATAAATAGCTGCAGTGTTGCCAAATGTGGAGCAAAAATCCTGGCAGTTTGCTTCTGAAAGGCATGCCTGCATCCTCCTGTCTGTCGTCTTCTGTTCTGTTCTATGGTCAATTCCTTCAATTAACAGTTTTCTTTTCTTGTTTGACCTCTTGCTCCTGTTATTGATACATTAGCTGCTTTATTCTCTACACTCAACTTTCTGATGTTGCTTCTGTTTCAGGCTCTGCGCTTTATTTTTTTTGTTTGGTTTCTACAGTTTCTTCTTTACCCTTTTTTTCCTTTATCAACAATGGAGTGCCCCTTCTGTTAGAGATTTACAATCCTCTACCAGCAGCCACAGCTCTCCACCACCATGTCCTGATAATTCTTTAGTACGACTCGGTCCAGATGGTCTAGGTAGAGCAGGGCAATGGGGCTGAGGGAGGTGGGGACGCAGCAGGCCCGAGGCACCGCTCCATTCACAGAGTTCACCATTGTTTGAACCACGGCATGGCTGGAGGCGTTCATGTGGTCAGCCAAAGGATAGCGGCACTCCCCCAGGCAGAAGAAAGCATCATAGCCGCTAGGTGCGATGATCCACTTGTGCCAGCCCACATCATTGAAATCAACATATAAGGGATGACGGCGGCACCTGCCACGAGAAAGACGCTTCAGTTTTGCTGAGTTGCCACCATTTCTTTTCACCCTTCCACGGTCACTCCAGCTTATCCTCCTTTTGTCACTCCCCCAGCCCTGCATAAAATACCCCACCTTTTTGGCCTTCCCCCAGCCTGGGTCTATTTTTTGGCCCTTACTGCTGTTCTTGGCCCTTGCATTGGACCCTTTTCTTCCCCTCATCCGACGGTCATTATCAGATGTTCTTCTGCTGTGTTTGACTAAAGGCTCTCCACGACCATCGTGACTGTAAGTCACTAAGAGGGGTCTCTCCTGGGCCCAGCTGTGATCGTTCTGCTCCACAGACCTGCATACCCTCAGATGTCCCTTGTTGTGTTTCTCTGCTTCCTCCTCACCAGCAGCAGAGGAGAAACTCTGGTCAGGAAGTGAAGTGGTGCTGTTTTCAGGTCTGACATCCAGGATGAAGCCCAAGCTGCCAGTCCCAGTAAGGGTCCTGTGGAGGAGTTCTGCATTTATACTAAATGCCTCCCAAAAACCATTAGGTTTATGACTGTGGAGGCCACTGGCAAGTAATCTAGTCTCTAGCAGAGTGGGCTCAGGATCTTCATGATGCTTAGAGAGGTATAGGTTTAATCTGTGGGGCCCTGGGCCCAGGGAAGCTCTGTCACTGCGGAGGAGCCGAAGCTCAGCAGAGAGGACCGTCTCATCCTGAGGTATGGAGGAGATATTGAAAGAAATGTGCACTCTCGTACGATCGTTTGCTTTGCTACTGTCTCCAAGAGGCTCTAAAAAGAAGAAGAAGAAGAAGAAAAAAAAAAAAGACAGAATATTAATGAGGTTAAATTTTATTCTACTACAGTTATTGTTCAGTGGTTAAAAAAAATTGAATGACGTCAGTGAAACACAGATTATAAAAAAACAGTTTCATAAAATTAAAACACTACTTAAAAAAATGTTGACATACAATTTTTCTAGTTTGGATGTTTCACTTTCACTATAAAGAAGATAAGGTAACAGTTATCACCATCAAATTGTTAACAACTTTTGCAAGCAGAAAATGTAGTATCAGAGGATCTTTAAAATATGAATCAATCCCACAAAAAGTTCACAATAACAGAGATTGAATAAGGCCATTTAAACTCAACCTCAAATAAAACAATTTTTTCCCACTATGCCTGTATTTTCTTAGCTAAAAAAATATTTTAAAAGTGTGAGGCAGACTTCCCGAGGCTCCCAAATGTTTAAGAGGTTTAGTCGATGGGGAAGGAAATAAAGGAATATATTATTAATATTAATCTCTTCCTTGAATCACCACATTATCATGGTGGAGGAATTTGTGCACCTGAATGATCCTAGGAGCTATGATGTCTAGGGCAATTGTGATTGCTCTAGGTAGTGTCTCCTAAGGCAGATTGGTTCTAGGTGACAGGCCAGACAAAGAGTGATTCAAAACACTTGTAGGGACTAAGAAAATCAAGGAGCTCGATGTCCCTTACTTGTACATGGGTTACCAAGGCCCACTCTGGAGCCAGGCCTGGCTGAAAGCCTCATTGATGAGCACCTAGTGAATGGATCTCTACCCTGCAGGAAGGGCCATATGAGTTGGGTGCATGACTTCATGGGCAGTAGCCAAAGGTGGAGGCCTTGGCACTCTGATCCTGTCTTACCAAAGCTGGGTCTTGGGATATGGAACAAAACCCCTCTGGCAAGGAAGGAACCTAAACTTGTGTGTGAGGTTGAGAGGTACCAACTAGATATAGTTGGGCATGCCTCTATGCACAGGATGGGCTCTGGAACCAATCTACTTGAGAGGGGCTGGACCCTATTCCACTCTGGAGTAACCCATGGTGACAGGCACTGAGCTGGTGTGGATCTACTCTTTGTCCCCTGACTTGGTGCCTGTGTGTTGGAGTTTTCCAAGGTAGATGAGAGGATAGTTTCCCTGTGCCTTCGGGTGGGGAAATGGGCTCTGATGGTTCTTTACACCTATGTGCCAAATGGCAGTGCAGAGTATCCAGCCTTCTTGGCAACCTTATCAGGGGTGCTGGAAGTTGCTCCAGCTGGGGACTCCTTTATTCTGCTAGGGGACTTCAATGCCCACATTGGTAATGACAGTGTGACCTAGAGGGGCATGATTGGGAAGAACAACCTCTCTGATCTAAACTCAAGTGATAATTTGTTGTTGAACTTCTGTGCTAGTTATGGTTTATCCATCATGAACACTATGTTGAAACATAACAGTGTCCATAAGTGCTCTTGGTATCAGGAAACCTGAAGTTGTAGATAAATGATTGACTTTGTAGTCGTGTCAAATCATATGTGGACGTTTGTTTTGGACACTAGGGTGACGAGAGGAGCTGAACTGTTAACTGTTCACCACCTGGTAGTGAGTTGAATCACACGGTTGGGGAAGATGCCAGACAGATCTAGTAGACCCAAACATGCAGTGAGGGTAAGTTGGGAATGTCTAGCAGAAGAACCTGTCAGAAAGATCCTCAACTTACACCTCCGGGAGAATTTTAACTGCATCCCAGTTGAGGTGGGGGACATTGAGTCCGAGTGGGCCATGTTCCATGCCTCGCTTGTTAGGTGGCTGTGTTGAACTGTGACTACAAGGTTGTTGGTGCTTTCGATGGTGGCTATCTTTGAACTCGGTGGCGGACAACTTGGGTTAGGGAGGCTGTCAAGCTGAAAGTGGCAGCTGAGGAGTACTAGAGTGTCAAGCGGGTCCCAGCCTTGGCTGTTGCTGTGACAAAAGCTTGGTTGTGGGAGGAGTGTAGTGAGGCCATGGATAGAGATTCTTGATTGGCTATGAGGAGGTTCTGGCAAAGCATCAGGAGATGAGGAGGGAAAAGCAGTACTTTACTAACACTGTGTTCAGTGAAGGTGGGGTGCAGTTGACCTCAAACAGTGATGGTGTCAGTAGGTGGAAGGAATACTTCTCGGATCTTCTCAATCCCACCGGCATGTCTTCCATGGAGGAATCTGAGTCAGCGGACTTCAGGGTTGGTCTGTCCATAACAGTGGCTGAGGTTGCTGAGGTAGTTAAAAAGCTCCATGGTGGCAGGGCTCCAGGGATGAATGAGATCCTCCCTAATTCCCTTAAAGCTCTGAATGTTGTGCAAGTGTCTTGGTTGATACGCCTCTGCAGCATTGCATGGCCATCAAGGGTGCCACTGGATTGGCAGACAATGGTGGTGGTTTCCCTCTTAAAAACAGGGGACTGGAGGGTGTGCTACAATTTTAGGGACATCACTCTCCTTAACCTCCCTGGAAAGACCAAGGGATACTGGTGTAGCAAGTTCGATCGTTGGTCAAACCTCAGATCTAGAAGGATCAATGTGAGTTTCATCCTGGCTGTGGAACACTGGACCAGCTCTTTACACTCACTAGGGTCCTTGAGGGCCATTGGAGTTTGCCTATCCAGTCTACATGTGTTTTGTGGAATTGGAGAAGGGGTTTGACTGTGTTCCACGAGGTACACTGTGGGGGGTGCTCCACAAGTGTGGGATTGGGGACCTGTTGCCATGGGCTGTTTGGTCCCTATGCAAGCGGCACTAGAGTTCAGCTTACATTGCTGGCAATAAGTCAGACCCTTCAGGGTGGGAGTTGGACTCTGCTAAGGCTGCCCACTGTCACAGATTCTGTTCATAACTTTGATGGACATAATTTTTGTTGTAGCCAGGGGCCCAAGGGAGTCCAGTTATTTGGCCTCAGGATTCCATCTCTGCTATTGGCGGATGATGTGGTCCTGTTAGTTTCATTGTGTCATGATCTTCAGCTCACACTGGAGGGGTTCACAGCTGATTTATAAAGCAGCTGGGATGAGAAACAGCACCTCCAAATCTGAGGCCATGGTCCTCAGTTGGAAAAGGGTGGATTGTTCTCTTTGGGTCAAGAGTGAGGTTCTTCCTCAAATGGGAGTTCAAGTATCTTGGAGTTTTGTTTATGAGTGAGGGAAGAATGGAGCGTAAGATTGTCAGACAGATTGGTGCAACATCTGCAGGATTATGGACTCTGTGCCAGTCTGTTGTGGGGAAGAGGGAACTGAGCTGTGAGACAAAGCTCTCTGTTTACCAGTCGGTCTACGTACCTACTCTCACCTAAGGCCACAAACTCTAGCTAGTGACTGAAAGAACACGATTGTGGATACAGGCAGTTAAAATGAGTTTCCTTTCCAGCGTAGCTGGATTCTCCCTTAAAGACAGGATAAGAAGTTTTGTTATCTGGGAGAGACTCAGAGTAGAAATGCTGCTCTTCCTCATCGAGAGGAGCCAGTTGAGATGATTTGGGAATGTGGTAAGGATACCCCCTGGATGCTTCCCTAGGAAGGTGCTCCAGGCATGTCTGACTGGAAGGAGACCCCAGTGAAGACCCAGGAAATGCTGGTGTCATGTTTCTTGGCTGACTTGGGAATGCCTAGGAATTTTCTCAGAAATGCTGGAAAAGGTGGCTGTGAAAAGAGATGTCTGGGTCTCCTTGCTTAAGCTGCTGCCCCCACAACCCAACTCAGGAACAAGTGGAAGATAATGGATGGATGGATAGATGGATGGATTCACATGATTTGCCAAAGAACATGAACTGCTAATGTGAATTAAATTAAATTAATGTATGTTACAGTTTTCACATGTTTACTGTCACACAACTTCTCCATCAGCAGAAGTTTGCAGCAATTCTCCTCAACATCTGTTACTAGAGTCCTTCCATATAAATGTGTGAGGAGCAACTTGAAGCATCTGTAAATATTTTACCATTGTGGTGAAAGCTGCGCACAGTGTTGGCCTGCTCGATGTGCCTCCTGGGGAAACTGAACGAAGGGTCTTCCACCAGATGGTACTGCTGCTGTTGAAAACGGTAAAGATCCAGGAGGTACTGTGGCACTGGTACTCCGGGCCGCGGATCAGGCTGGGACTGCAGGCCCAGTCGACTCAGGAGGAGGTTCTGGATGGTCTGAGCCAGACTGGGATCAGGGAGTGTGGATGTGAGGGGCGAGGATGAAGGTGTAGGAGACGCCCTGCCATGAGTAGTCTCACTGGTGTCTCCACCCTGGCGACCAGATGAGGCTTGAGGTAGCAGCAAGACCATGAGGAGCAGGAGATTAGCAGGGAGCATGGTGGACCTGGAGGGAAGAAGAGAGAAAAAAAGACAATGAGCAAAAAAACAGAGGAAACCTACACACAAACTTCAAATTCCTTGAAGGAATGAATATTGTATACAGTAGTGAATTGGTTTGATTTTAAAAGTTAATCAACTGTAGATGCACAGTTAAAAAAAAACTTAAATCCTGAGTGTTTACATTAACATTTGACCAGAACAAGTTAATGTCTTGACTTTAAGCAAAGATATGACACAATGTGTTGAGCTAATGTATATGTTGAAGACACTGTTTAGTTACAACCCCAAATTTTAGCTTAATGTAAAATTGTCTGAGACAGAGCCATTTTTTACTTTTCTAAGATCAGTTTGAATTGGGTTAACTTCCAAAGTTATTCTGTTGTAGCTGTGCATCCACTGATAACTTGCTGAGAGTTTCATTCATGCTCTTCCAGTGATTCCAAAGGTATTTTGCTAAACGGACAAGAGTTAACATCGATAGTTAATGGTAAAGTTTTAAACAGATCTCGCACGATGGGTTTGTACTCGGCGTATAAGATGGGGACGACTCTCAACTACTATCACATACAATTTTAGCTCAGTGTCAGAAAACTGATTGAGTTATAACCATGTTTTGTTTTTATTAGATTGCTTAGCTATGACAGCCATCTTGCTTCAGGCTGACTACAAAAGTTAATCAGTTGTAGGCATACATCCAGTGATTTTTCTTTTACAAACCCATGCACGCACACACAAAAATGGTTGGTTATGCAAATGTTTCTAAAATAGCATTTGCATTAGCAGCTAGAAAAACTGTGAAATGCTTCTAAAGAGGCAAAAATCCACCTCAGTCTTGGTCACTTCCGTACTAGCCATTAGCTTGTTAATCCTGTCAGAATTTAACATTGTTTCTCCAAACTGAAGATGATCAAAGAGCAATCTACAACAGGTAAGACATTAACTACTTATAACCTTTCTACAGAACTCCACTCTTCAAATAATCTGAATTATTCCTTTACAATATATTTTTTGGACAGTTTATGTTAAATACAGAAAAAAATAATTCAAATGACATGACGACACAAAATAAAGTATTTGTTGAGAAATCTGCAGAAAACATAGACCTTGTACAAGATGCTTCACTTCTCTGTATATCATGCTGGTGTCTTTTCCTTCCTGGACACACCAGTTTCTCATTAGTCCTTAGGCTTCATGTGACATATGTTCAAGAAATTTACTGTCGACTTATCCGCACAAAGTTGTTTGCTTGTTACTCCTTGCCACATTTGTTTTTACTTGGTTAATTTATGGTGAAGCTCAGACCCGTATGACCCATATATCTCACTGGACACCTCAGCAGAAGTTATTAAGCAGCTTCCATCTGCACTTTAATCATGTTTATGTGTGAAAGAGCGAGGAGTTCTGGATATCCAAGCTTGTATTATTGTGATGTGTTATGGAGTTGTAACTACCTGCCAAAATGACAGATTACCACCTTCCCCTCCCCTCTTTTCCTTTTACAATCTCCAGAGAATTTAGCTATTAAAACATTCAGAAGCTTTCCAAAACTTTGACAGCACAAAGAAGTGAAGAAGACATTTTTCAGCCATTAATGGTCACAATTCAGCATTTAAGTTTGATTGATTGTGCTTTGGGTTTACTCCTAAATGAGCCAAACTTAGACTTACAGTTTAGTTTTGTGTTTATAGGTTAATTTAGTGTGCGTTAAGGTCACATCTGTCATTTCTTTAAAGAAAATCAGCTGAGCAGTTTAAGTAAAGACCTCCGAAAGATCAAATTTTCAGTTATGTTAGAGCCATTCTTAAAAGAATTACATGAACCAGTGGATGGATTGGAATGAAACTCACAGAAAGCAAGTATTAGATTTACACCTACAACTCTTTATCTTTAGGCGTAAAACCCAATTCAAGATGGCTGCCACAACTAATCTAACTATAGTATAGTAATTTCATTTTAAATTAATCTAAATATTTTTACAGATATTTAGTTAAAGTTTTGTTCGGACATAATGGGAGTCCTCCTCATCACAAACTTTAAGCATGACAAGATCTTTGTTTAAAACTTTGGCACGCAAAGAGGTCATCAACGTGCATTCCTTCAAGGGTTGCATTTTGTCTTGTTTTTAGAATCATAAAAAAGGAAAACACTACATGCAAAAGAGCAGTTTTCAAAATTAATTGCTTAAATTTAGATTTTCTAAAAGAAAAAATGCAAATGTTTGAACTTTTTTTATTGTTTACACTCTCAAGCCAATAAATGTCTACTGTGGGTCACTCAACATCGAAGATAATTTGCACTTTTTGAATTTCATTGTGTAATATCTTCTGTTTGTATTTCTATTTGATAGGGGTGCACCGATTGCAGTTTTCTGGCCAATCACCGATTTCTAAAAAGTCTGACCTGCCGATTCCGATTTTGTTTAATAAGCGACACTGTCAGGTGTTCTAAGGTCACAATGCACCTTCAATTTTCTAGTCTTATTTTATTGAAAAAAAAAAACAACAACCCTTGAACAATATCCTAGAAACAATACAAACTTGTTTTAACTGGCCATGAGGTAGTGCTCTGAAATATAAAAGAAGTTCAGACAATTGTTGTTAAAACAAACAAACAAAAAATCAGTAATATCGGGTTCTCATGCAAGTATTGGCCGATTTTTGATTTCCCAAAAGTAAGGAAATCAGGGCCAATAAATCGTCCGGACGATTTATTGGTGCACCCCTACATTGCTCTAAAGCCAAACTTGTTTTTTCTGGGAGAATGTAGGCCCTTTGTCTGACTCGTATCGAGGGGTCAACCTTTGTGTCATTTTGGACAGCGGGAACTCCACAACGGGGTCACACAATTACCAACATGACCTGGCATTGCATCTTTGAAGAGACTGTGTTAATAACTGAGAGGATAATTACAAGCCTGCTAATGGCTCTCCTGACCTGCAGAGGTCGAGGCGAGGTGCTAAAATGTCAGCAAAAACATTTAAAACTTGGTGACCAGACCAAAAAAAAATGCAAATGAACAAAATAGAGGATAATTGCAATTATAGTATCCAAAGTTTGTCCCTTAATTTTGATTTAAAGGTGATTTTTTTTTAGGCATGTTAGGGTCATTATAATCGTTATAATCTCTTTCCATTCATGAGTGTTCACGTATCTCTCTTTTTCTCACCTCTATCTCTTTATCTCACCTCTGTAAGGGACAGAGAATCAATTAGGGCCTCCGCAGCATGATAACAGCAGCGTTTATGGCTGAGTTAACGTATAATGACGCTGTAATGACTGCTAATCTCACCACACTGTCAGAAACAGAGCCAAAAGGAGGTCACAGGTGTGAAGGCGTGCATATTTTTATGCATGTTCATACGGTTCAAAGGGCAGGCCTGCTGAGAAAATAAGCCACCTCCAACCGTGGGATTGTTTTTGGTTATCCATTAAACTCGCTCAGCTCCACCCAAGGCTGTTTCACCTGAGGCAGCTCAGCAGAGGACAATTACAGATTAGACGCTGCTGGACGGCCCCTCCCATATACCGTGGAGGCTCGTAAAGCTGATTAAGGACAACAACACCACCTCTCTCCTGTACTTTCCTCACCTGCAGAACCACCCAGGTGACTCTGAGGTGCAAAGGTTAAGTTGTCACTCAGGAAGGTGGGTCAGAGCCTGTGTGAGGCAGAGAAACACGAAAAGAAAGAAGAGGCTGTTTGAACACTTTTCCTCTCCTCATGTTGTGACGGGGTTTCATTTGATTTAAACTGAGCCAAGAGGTCCAGACCTATAAGTTAGCAGCTTTGTGAGGATGCCATCCAGTCTAACTCAAGTTCACTTACTGTCATATATCACTTTGAAATCTTTCCTGTCCAGCGTGATTATGGGCTGAACTTGGAGCCATGCAATGTTTGGGAGGATAATCTCCATAATAAAGAGAGCCAGATAAGACGAGACAGAGGTATGAAGGTTTGCAGTTAATCAGTTGTGTTTGTGCATCTTTTCCTCATGAACACACAGGCTTTCAGATGTGTTAGATGAGGCCTGACCTGCTTAGCAGACGGCATGGTGACCCTGGCGTGCAGCAGACCAGTGTTGTTGCTGGCCCTGGCCCGTGTCTTTCTGAACCAGCTGATTAAAACCTCTGGCCTCTAACGTCCGTCTCGCTTTTTATCTGTTTATTTCAAACCCGGCTACTTTTCCCCTTCCTCCTTCCTCTTTGCATTCCTTGAACTTTGTCCTGTTGATTCATCCTTTGTGTTGTCATATAGAGCTGACTGCACACTCTTTGGCTCTTCGCTTAGGTGAACTTCAGTTGTTTTTCCTCTTCATTATTCTCCCAGTCTGTCAGTTGTTTTTGTGCTTTTCAGCATCACGTCTCCACTACTCTATCATTTGCTCCTTTTCCTTTTTTCACATTAATGTTGCCCCCGAACCACCCGTCTCACATTCTGAAAATGAATGGTGTTTTTACGGAAGAGTGCGGCAGACTGTTGCCGGGCCGCGGGGGCCAGCATGTCACTGCAGCCAGCTGATTTATCCACCACCGCTGTCTTCATGTTACGCCCGGTCCCTCAACTTTCCCTTCCTGTTGTTCTTCCCGTGTTTCTTTTCCCAAATTCTTTCTTTCACGCTCCCTCATTCTCCCCCTACACTCTTTCTCGAGAGCTCTCGTTTCTCAGCGCAGCCATCCTGTTCTTTCTGAACTGGACATGAGCACCAAACATGCCGCGGAGTCCATTTATGCTTTCTGAGGAACCACTCGGTGATGTCACAAGTTAAAATGTGATACACACGACACAAATCCATGTCTGTGAGGAGGTCAAGAACTGTTTGCTGTCATCGCTGTTTGCTTTTCCACAGCAACCTTAAAATGTATGTTAGCCTCTGTGCTATTGGGTAAAAATAACCAGAAATGTATGAGGGCGTAACTAGTTTTAACACAAAACTTTGGCCTCTGGATAAAATATATGGTTAATATGTAAATACTTGATTTCATTTAGCATAACAGGTCAAAATTTAAACACACTTTTTCACTTGTGTTTTATAATTACAATTTTTAATTTGTTGCAGCAGAACTGATTGGTGAAGCAATTCAGACACATAGACTGTAGGAAATGGATTAAATCTATGCAAACAGCCCAGAAAAGTGAGTATAAATATCTTAAATTATGTATAATTTTGACTGAGTGGACACATGTCAGCACAGATATTCAGGAGTTGATCGGACCTGGAGAATCTCTTCTCTGACTAACTGATCAGGTAACACTTCTACACCCCCCTCCCCTCCACACACTGCTTTAATGGTTGGTGTCTTCTCTGGGAATTACAAGAGCTGAAAGGTTTTCAATATTTTCTTTTGAGCCGGGGATGCCCGGAGGTCTCCGAAAGCGCTGCGGTTTAGAGGACGAGGCCCCCGCTGAGGCGTAACACCTCACCAGCATCAGTGGAAACACTGACATGTCTAACCCACAACTGTTGAAACCTCAGAGGCTGCTCCCGCTCAGCCTCTGAACAATGTGAAATACAGAACTACAACACGCCGCTGCTTTTTACATTAAACCTCGTGTGTTAATACTGAGGGCCAATGCTGTGCAAAGCTGTGCTCTTTGAACTCACAATAGCCACATTATTCTCAGACGGTTTGCCTAAAAAATTAGATTTGGACTGAGCGGAAAAAAAAAGAAAAAGAAAAAGAAATTGCAAGCAGTGTCTGCATGTGCATGAGAGTGTGTGTGTTTTTCCCCAGAGGGGACCCAATGGTTTCAGCAGCAGAGTTCCTGTGGCCTGCAGCCTGACAGATGTGTGTGAGAGAGAGAGGAGTTTGTACTCACATCCAGGTGTTGTGGGATGTATGCAGAGTCCATGATTTATCCTTGAGCTCCAGTGTTACGATCCCTTGCCTCGTTCTCTTGCTCCTTTGGACAGAATGGACAAAGTGGACTATTTACGCCTTTCTGTCTCTGTTTTACCCTCAGAGCATGTTTCTCTTATGTCTTCCATGTGTCTCTATAGGCATCGCAGCTTGATCCATGTTTCTCTTCCCTCTCTCTGCTCCTTCGCTCACCTTCTGTCACTGTCAGATAAGCAAAACCCTAAAAAGCATCATGCCTTCCCCCTGTGCTTGCCTGACCTCTGTCTGTAAGCACCACTCTTTTGTTAGCCCCCTATACCTCCACCTCTGGGTGTTTGGAAGAAGCTGTGACAAGAAAACATGTGTGTCTGTACTGTATCACCGGCAACAACTCCCTCTTGTTCCTAAACCTCCTCACTGTGTCTCTCTCCTTTCCTCTCCACTCTGTTCCTCCCTTTTGTATCTCCTCCCCCTTCCCTCTCTCTCTTTTTCTACCTCCCTCTCGAACACACACACCTCCACACACTCATACATTTTTTCTCTTATAGTCCGTACACAGTTGGTAAACTATATTCAGCTCTAATTGACTTTCTGGAGACTCAGATTCTCTGAAACTGTCGTAAAGACTGGCCCCTCTGCAGGCTAATAAAAACTCAAATCTGCACATTCTCAACAAAACTAATCACAGCTTCAACCTGCACACAATCTGGTCAAGATAACCCTGGAGGTCAGCATGCACAAGCAGTTTGATTGTTTTCTGGATTTCCTCCTTCAACAAACTCACCTGCTGAGTTTCATTTGACTTTTCAGCCAACGTGCTTGCAGACAGTCCCTCTGTCATTATAAATACTCTGAGAGTCACTCACAGAATCCAGGTATGAATGGATGACTCATGAGAGCCGCCGTGAAGTCATCAAAAAATGAGATTTGTGATTGGATGGAAGTAAATGTTAAAGTGGAAAAAAAAAGAAAGAAAGAAAAAGAATGTTGTGCTTCTTCGTGATGAGTTGAAGCAAGGTGCATCCGTCCTTCCCGCACAGAGCGAGCGGGCGGGCGGGCAGCCGGGCTGAATTTGTATTCATGAGGTAAACCCATGAGAAAACGTCTCTTTAGGATGCATCGTCTCACATATTAGATCTCATCTGGAGAATCACTCATCCACGTCCCTCAGCTCCACCTCCCCTGCCCTTCCACTCACTCTTCCAGTCGAGAACAAACACATGCACACATATACCTCAACCGCAGACCTTATTCATCCCCAGACTGAGTAATTGTCCCCCTGCAGACAAACTTCACACACAAACACACACTTTTTATTTTTATTTACAACACACACACACACAATCTTCTTCTTAGGATGTTTGAAGCAACTTTCAAATGATGAACTTTGATCAATCCATGATCCATTCCACCTGCTGTCTGCAGCAGAAGTTAGAGCACCTACGTTAAGAAATGACCTTGGGACATTGTCACTGCACGATCAAATATTGTCAATTAGTCATCAAAACTGTAAACATAAAGCATGAGTTGATTATTAGAATTGAAAACAAAAGAGATTTGCAGTTTTCACATCAAGTGAAAGTTTAGATATTTGTCACTTTTAAAAGGCAGGAATGCGTTTGAAGTTTGGGTCACTGTCCAGTAAAGTTTGCACCGTTAAGACTCCAGTTGATCAGAAAGCAAAAAAGTAGCTGAGATTGAAGAAAAGCGTTGTATATGATCCCTTTGTTCTCATACACACACGTGCACACACACAAAAACGGTCTCAATCAGGGATAATAAACACAAACCAACAAGAGTCATGGGGTCGTTGTTAAAAAGGACCCACGCGCACACGCCTTTATTGACCTAATGCCAAGAAAACCAGAGGCAGTGTAACAAGAACTGAGATTACAGACAAACAGACAGTAGACGTAAAGATTAAGAGAAGCTCCGACTAAAACCAGCGGGTCCCCTGTGTGGGAACTTTGATTACAGAGTGAAGACAGGTGAGTGAGGAGCTGGAAGAACAACTGACAACATCTGAAGGCTATTCCAGAAAATGTTATTTGAAAACTAAATTAATCTCTGAAACTGTGTTTTTTGTTCCAGAAAGACTGAGTTCATCTCCCGTTCCAGGTGTAGTTCGCAGAGTCTGTTGCCATGGCGATAAACTTAGACTTTCACCTGTTAATAGAATGGAGAACAGAGCTAAGCTCTCCCTAAGCTCAGGCTTATCTTTCTCAAAGTTTCAGCATAACCCACTTTCTGAAATACTGACACACCTCCCAGGGCAACCTAATGAGGAAATGTTCAGCCATATTAAACAACATACCATATTTTCCATCATACCCATCGCACCAGTCCAAATATGTCTAATAAAGTGGAAAAATCCATAAATATGTCTCATCTATTATGTGTCACCGCTGACAACCTAGAAATCTGGGCCAGTGTTGTGCCAAATATCGAATGGCTGCCAAATGGCGGCCGCGGGGCATGCACGAGAGAACTTTAACAAGAATTTAACAAGATTAACACTTAAAAACAATTATTTGTTTGCTCAAAATTATAGTAAAGGTGTGTCTCAGTCTAACTTTTACTTAATAAATGCACTTTGATGGTCAGATCAGCTGCATTTCAAAAGCCGATACGCAGAAACATGAACGCGCAGAGGGCGACTTGCTGTGCATTTCTTCGAAATTTAACAAGATAACCACCTAAAACAATTATTTGTTTATAACAAATGTGTGTCTCACTCTAACTTTTACTTAATAAATGCACTTCAATGTTCAAATGAGCTGCATTTCGCCAGGGCGACGCAGCTAAATGAAGCTGATTTGATGGTTGTTCCAGGCAGACGACGGTATCAAGCTGTGGCAAGCTGATTGTCATAGCCACTTTTACCTATTACATGATACAAGGGCATGCCATAAATTTCGACTGCTATCTATCAGCTGAAAACGGTAGTGTTCAATATTTTCAGTAAGAATGAATGAAAACGGTCATTATCTCAGCCAAAAATTAGTTTATAAATATGGAAAAAAATCCATAAATACTTCGCTTCGGCCTATAAGTCGCAGGACATGCAAATTATGCAAAAAACTGTGACATATATTGCAAAAAATATGGTAGTAAAAAATGCAGGTTTTATGATTTGCATAAATACAAATATTTAATTTGATCAAACCTCTGCTCTGCATTCTTTTTTCTTCAAATTAATTTCTTCCAGAATGGTTACATGATGTTTGGGGGATGAATGCAGAGGTTATATTAGTTTCTTGAGTTAGCAACAAACAATTGTTTGTATTGATTGAGAAATTGTAAGTAAATCACCAGTCAGTTTTTATGTCTATTGCTGATTATTTATAGTTAATGTATTCTTTTAATGCAATGGTTAATGTTTTAAATATGTGTTGCAGTTTTCTCAAAATGTCAAATCCAGAAAAAAACAAAAAACAAACAAATAACCAATAACAGCCCAAGAAAGCCCAACATTTAAAAACCAGGAACAATGAAGCGTTACTAAAGACATCAAAGATGTGTCAGTATTAAACTCTTGATTAATAGGTTTATCACCTACTTCCACGAAATATAAATAATCAGGGAATTGTTTTTGTTAGCAAAATATCTCATGAACAATCAGATGGGTTTTAATGAAATTTTCAGAAACTAATCACTGGATGTACATCTATAGACACTTAATATTTGGAGTCAATAAAATTCAACATGGCTGCCACAACTAATGAGCCATAGTCAACACAAAAATGACATTTTCCTGGATATATGGCTCCAAATGAGTCTGGTAGTAGTTGAGAGACAATCTCTGCTGTAACAAATCACCTTTGTTTAAAATTTCCCCGTGTAAGATGATGAGCAGTATGCATTTGACTATTTAAACTCAGGTTTCCAAAGCACTTTACTATGTAAGATTACATTTAGCAAAAACCTTAATAAATTATATTAAAAAAAAATCTATTCTGTATATCTAAATATTTGTGTATTTGAGTCATTATTTGGTAGAAATAAACCTATCAAAAGCTATAAAGGAAAAAGAAAAGGCAGATTGTACATGTGAGGCTTCAAGACAAGCCAGAAGCTTTAAAAAGTTTATTTTAAACCTTTTGAAATGACAAACCAGTTGTAAAATATGTCAGATTCACAGGTTAGACTCGTTGAAACAAAGAGAAACACATCCAGGATTCAGTCACGCTGAGCCTCTGCTCTAAATTCCTTTCCAAATATGAGCGGTAATCCCAGCCTCCAGCTTTCCCATCCTCTGGAAAAGCTCTCGGCTGCCTGTCCCGTTGACTTCCGGCGGGGGTGGCGAGAAACTTTTAAAGCAATACCTCATCCGCCCTCCTTAACAAGCCGTCCATCCATCCTACATCCCAACATTCCCACCTCTGTGCTGCTCCATTCCTCCATGGACCCAGTTAATGAGGCCCTATCATGGAAAGAGGAAAAGACGGTATTTTGGATTTATTCCCAGTTCGTCTGCTTCCACTCTACGTCCTCTTTCAACAAATTATCACACATAATAACTCATCAATCAACTTGATCATCAGTTATTTGGAAGGAGGGAAAAAGGAGTCTAGAGAGAGAAGTGATGACAACACTGGCAGCAGCTCTGAACACGCACGCACGCACGCACGCACGTACACACACACACACACACACACATACAGACATTTAGTGGCAACTACTTACACATTAAAATTTATGAGCCTCCCATTAATAAACCCAACATCAGAAGCTGAGAACAGCCAAACCTGCCGTTATTAATTTTAATGTGATGTGCTTGAGATCACCATTTCTGTTTTAAAAGTATAGAAAATAAACAAACAAAAAAACAAACTAGTTTTATCTCATTATCTCAGGAAAACAAGCTGTGCATGGTGAAAAAACAAACACTTATTATTTTACCCCCAGTTTCACAGCATTTCTGTCATGATACGAACGTATAACAGCAACGAGGCGAGACATTTTCAGATCAAATCTTTTGCTAGCATGAGTCAAAAATAACTCCAACTAGAGAAATAGCATTTCCTGTGAAAATGCAGTGTGAAAGCTTTATTGCTGA